GTGAGAACTTGAAATGGCATGTGCAGCAACTGACAGCAGATGGCAACGGCCGTGGGTAGATGTAAGCATTCACAAATGCACATGCAGCGTGGTTATGCACTGACGGATCCGTTTGATGAATGTGCATGTAAGTACATGCGTTTCTGCAGGTTACCCCATTGGTCGTCAGCGTTACGCTGCCGTTCAATGCAGAGGACGGCAAAATTGGCGTGCATGTCCTTGTGGCACGTATGTTTTATATGCGTAGTGTCAGGTACTCTGATGAAAACAGTGCTACAGCAGAGACATCACCAGAGCTCCAACTTGTTTGAAACATCGGCAGATAGTGACAGCGTGGTGCTCACAGCGCCTCTAGGCAAATCAGCATTCGCAGTAGAGATGGCATGCAGTGCACCCTGATGGTTATGAGAGGAATGAAATTGACCAAACCTTTCTGGCATTGCAGACTGCGCATGTTCAGGTGGCGCCACCCGAAGGTTGGTTGAGGTTTGGAGACGCCTCTGTGGGAGTGGCCATTCCAGGAACCGAGCAGTATGGAAGCAAATGTGAGATGAATGAAAAAAACAGGCATTTGACGCTCATTCACTCGAGAGGCTGGTGTACTTCTAGAGTACAGCTACCGAAAGCTAACCTCGATGTTAGTGGAATGTTTTCGGTGATTGGGGCCGTCGCATGCATCCCGATCGCACCTAGCCGCCCCACGCCGGCTTGTAAATTCAATCGCTGGACAGGGCACCATCGCGTTTACAAGGTGTGTGCGCATGAAAAGTTGCCCACCGGGATCGGCTGCCGCACTCCTGAGCGGCGGGCGCATAACGCACCGCACCAGGCCGCAATCTCAAAAGCGTATGCGCGCGCGGGGTCTCAGCTCCGACCTCCCCGCCCGCCTCGCAGGGGGCCGGGGCCGCCGCCACCGCCGAGGATCGGTAGTTCCGCGGGCGTGGGCCGCCGGGCAGGAGGGCCGCCGCGCCGGCGCTGCTGCCGCCGGTGTCACTTTGGCAGTACACGCGTACAACGGCCACTGAAAAATACATAACCGGGGGTCTAAACACTCTGAGATTGTATCAGGACATTCGAGGCAATCTTTCTGAGGAGTACTGGGAAGTGTATGCTTTTGAAGCAAGCGCCCTTATCCAGCCTTATGTTGATGATTTCATACGGTATCTCAACCACCAAGCACCAGAACCGGAAGCGCCGCTACCTCGATCGGGGTCAAGTGGCCACCTGGCACATTATGCGGATCATATTTATGCCCCTCTGAACCGCGTGATGTAATGCGCCAGTGTATGTGGAAGAAACTCGACGAACGACTACAGCAGCTTGAGCCACGAAAGAAACTGAATGAATCATCTGAGGTTCATGAACGGATGAAGGTAGCGATGTCATGCAACACCGACATCCGCCCCCGATACACGCTCATACCTGCCGCTGTCGGGACCAGCGAGGGATGGTTCTATCCTGTTGGGGACGGGCACCGGCAGTCTTTGATCCGGGGGGGGCTTACTGCCTGCTACACATGACGATGGATCAATAATTCAGTACAATCTTGGAGTCCGAATAATTGATTTCCCAAGGTGGTTCAATGCCAGCTTTACAGATCAAGACATTATTTTTATCGAAATGGACATTGAAGGAGCTGAATGGGGACTGATTTCCGCACTTCGCAATATTGGAGTTCTTGGCCGTATCAGGAAGCTGTTTTGGGAGTGTCATGGGCCATCTCGAGGTTTGATTGCAGGACATTGACAGGATGGCTGCAACAGGCAGGAGTCGAGATCCTGGTAGAAGAAACCGACTACCATGGATGGGACTCGTATTCAAAACCGTCCTGAGGTGCCACAGTGTGTTTTCCTTTTCATTTGTTGGTCAATTGTCAACCGTTTAAACAACGCAGCCTTTTCTGGGTCTTTGACAAAAGTAGTGGGAGAACGGGATGTCACCACTGGCTCCAAGTTGGACAATGAGGAAGAACAAAGGTGCAGGTCAGCCTGGATCGATCAGCTGCCGCCTCTTGGTCGCCTCTGCCCGCCTCCCGCCACCCTGGGTGTCACGCATGGCGGCCCATCGGACCCCTGTCGCACTGCATCGGCAGTTGGAGGCGGGAATCTATCACTTTCAATTTCCGCACACAACAGCCTTGTACATTCAACACGCTCTGTCACAGCTCGCTAGCCTGAAACAATTCACTCAAGCGGCAGGCAGATGCACCTGTCCCAGTGTTGGACCCCGACTGCACTTTGGCACCACCACTTTCCTCGTGCAGCTTTTTGTTGTCGGGTTGTCAAGCACAAGTTTGCTCTCACTAGTCCCGGTCGCCTGACCGCCGCCCGAAGTGGCTGCACCACTTTCCTCGTGCAGTACCCACAAAAATCGAAACCTTTCCTCGGCCAACTCTTGCACCCAATCGTTGTCAGGCCTGATAATGCTCAGCTGGCGTCGCAGGCTCACCAGCTCAGCCTCCAGCTTATGCAGAAAGCAGGCGTTCATCTGAAATAATGAGGTGCGCAGTGCATGTTGCAGAAGCGATGAGCCGATCGGCTCTCCTTGCTACCATTGCGCCTGCGCATGCATTGCTGCCTGCTGGCCCCGCTCACTGCCTGCGCAGGCATGTCTTAATTGCACTGCCAGAGGCCGCCCTGTGTTGGTGTCCAGCCACGCATCCATGGCACCATTTCATCATCGTACGCAGTACGGCTAATGTGCATCCAATTTGTGGCCAGCTTCCGCACATACTGCTGTGCAGGGGTGCGCTTCAAGTGCGCTGTAGAGGAGAAAGGTAGGTAGGCAGCATCTCAGCAGACTTTCTCTGCACTGGCATCTCGAATGTGTCACTGAAGTTGATCTCAAAGCCCGCCTCATGCGCCTGAGCCAGCACCGCCGCCAGCTCCTTCTCCAATTGCATCTTGCGCTGCTCAATGCGAAGCTTGCTCTGCAAAGGAGGATAAACTTGGTAAGGAGGCAGATGGTGAGAGCATTTGGCAATGTTGTGAGAGAGAACACAGGTGTCGTACAGAGCATATTGGACTGGACACTGGGTATTTTGTGGAGGATTGCGCAATTGACAGCAACTGACTGTGGTACTTAGAAACACAAATGCACTAATCAGATGCCCGTCTCCGAGGGTACTTGCCCCAATGAGATGCACACACGAAAAATACTGCAACCCGTTTACATTTACATAACGAGGTACACCGAATACTAAACTAAAACTAAATTATCTATTTTACTACTAATATTAGCTCCCAAAAACTGTTAAATCGAAAATGTGGGGCAAATGCTGCACACCATCATGAATTTTTATCTCCTTCTCCAGCCCTAATGCAGCATATTTAATGTTGCTTGCTAAAAAGATCCAGCATCTTATTTAAATTGAATAGCAAATCCATGCAAATGAATATGAACACTGTGAAAGGTCGAGCAAAATCACTTCACCAGACCCTGGTGGCCATCAAAGGCTGGGAAAGGACCATTTTACAATTTGACAGAGAGTTTTACCGGGGACACAACTACGGGAGTGGCCCCTGCGAGTGGGGCCAGGCGCAGGAGTGTTGCGCCCTCCCGCGCCACCATCAGCAGTGTACTCGAACCGGGTTGCTTAAGCAAGCCACCAGAGCAGCGCACTATGTTGCAGCATAAGGGCATTTCGCCTGGACCAGGCATGAGCAGGAAGCACCTGCAAGCCCAACATTTTGACACTGCATGATGGAGCGCTCCCCAGAAACCGAGTAATGTAGGCAAGGGGCTGAAGGCAGGGTGTGCAAGGCCAGTTGCCTGCACTACTGCTGAACTCACCCCCAGCAGTACCATGCTGGGCCGACTGCAATCTGCCATCTGCACCGCTGTCCCTGTCACTGCTGCTGCCAGCGCGCACTGCGCTTGCAAAGCTGCCCAGCACCCTCGGAGACTGGGGTGGACAGCTGTTGCCTGCAGCATTGGCGCTCGTGGGGCGGGGCAGGGCATGTAGGTCCTTTGGCTGCTGCCGCTGGGTCTGCTTTGTGAGCTGTGGAATGCTGACGCCGCTGGGGCGCAGCGATGACGTGGCCGGTTGGGCGGGCGATGTGCCAGACCGACAAGTCCAGGCAACCGTTTGCTGCAGGCGCATGCTGCTGCAATCGCTGTGGCATGCTGCCTTAGATGGCCCCAAGGCGGGCACACTGGCTTGCCCACGCTGCTGCTGCGGAAAAGGGCTGGCAGCTCTACCCATGGGAGCAGCTCCAATGGGCATGGCCACATGCTGCTGCCGCTCTGCAGAGCCGTCCGTGGGCAGGGGTGCCAGGCCGTTCAGAGGCCGGCTGGGACAGCGCTGATGCGAAGCACGGGGCCGCCTGGCTGGTGTGGTAAAGTTCGTTGTTGTAGATGGCCACAGCTGCGCCCAACAGTTGAGAGAAAGGAGGGGTGGTTATTGGGGGGCAAAAGGCGTGGCGGCAGCGAAGGTACAGGAAGCAGCCGCGGCTGTGCAGGCACGGACGGAGCACGACGCATGTCACCGCATCTGGCCAGCCACCGACCATGGCGCGAAGGAGCAATTCCTTGAGGTGCGGCAACCAGCCCCTGCCAAGTGCGAGGCGTCACCGGGCGCACGGCCAGCTCGGCGGCGCCGCCGCCGCCGTGCGAGTAGACCATCGGGGAGGCTGCGGCTATGGCCGGGTGGGGGGAACACACACACACAAGGCCGAAAGTACAAAAACGTCCTGCGGCTCGTCTCGGCTGGCTCTCGAAACTATGGCACTCGCGATCCTTGAACGTTCCATCCCTGTTCTCCCTCGACCCGCCGCGCTTGCTGTTGTCCAAGCAAAGTTTCCTAGGATCCACCCTGCGCGATCGGCTAGCTTAAAACACGCATGATGCAACGGCCAGCAGCAGGTGCGATCTGGTGCATTGCACACCTGCTGCCCGCAGGTGCTTGCTCGCGGAAAGAAACAGCACGCCACCTCGCTTGTGGGCACCTCTCTGACGACGACGACGACCGCCCTTGTTCGTCCCGTGCAGCCCCGTCGGCGCAGATAGTGTGCGCAGGATGCAGGACCGTTCTGTTGTACCCCGCCGGCGCGCAGAACGTCCGCTGCGCCCGATGTTCGACTGTCACCGCTGTCGCCCCCCCCACCCCTGCGGCAGACATGGCGCAGTTGTGCTGCAGCAATGCGCAGTGCCGAGTGGTGCTGATGTACCCGCGTGGGGCGGGTGCCGTGCAGTGCAGCGTGTGCGGCAATATCAGCGATGCCTCGCAGGCCAACCAACTGGGCCACGTCGTCTGCGGCGGCTGCCAGGTCACCCTGGCCTATGCCTATGGCGCACAGTCCGTCAAGTGCGCAGTCTGCAACTTTGTGACCCCGGTCTCTGCACACCTTGGCGGCACCTCCACAGCGGCGCAGCAGCAGCCACAGCAGCAATCAGCGCAGCAACAGGGACAGCAGCAGCAGCAGCAGCAGCACCAGGCAGCAACGGTAGTGGTAGAAAATCCTGCAACACAGGACGAACAGGGAAATGAGGTGTGTGCACGTCCAAGTGGTGGGCCCGCGAGGTGAAGGTATCGAGCCGTAAAACAGGCCCATCAGTTTGCCATTTCGTTCGTCCCTTGCGTGCAGGTGCAAAATGTAGCCATCGGGGTAAAAGGCGACTAAAAGCTACGTCTTCGCGAGACCCGTCAGATTGCCTGGCCCATCTATGAGAAGGCCGCCCTTTTGGCGGGATGCCTGTTGACGAGTTGTTGCCTCACACAAGGCTGACGAGTTATTGCCTCACACAAGCTGCGAATGCCCGCAGCAAGGACATGTGATTCTGGTGCAAAAGCAGCCAGTCACGTTTGGCAGAAGGCCTGCAGCGTCTCGTCAAGCGCTTGCTTCGGGAAATCGCCAGTGATGACACAGTTGCCGAGAGGACCCCTGTACATTGGAGAGGGCATGGTGTTATCACAGCAAACAAATGCAAATTGGATGCGTGGGACGCACTCACCTGAGCAGGATGAGACGGAGCTTGCCGTCCTGCACCTTCTTGTCAACCGCCATTGTGTCTTGAAACTGTCGGGCAGTCATCCCCTGCATGCATGCATCACCATGTACGTGGTATGTGCATCCAACTGCCAAACTGCAATCTCCTAAGCCCGTCGGCTGGGAACCACCTACCGGCGGCGGCGTCACGGGCAGCTTTGCCTTCTCATTGAGGGCGTGAATACGCCGCGCAAGCTCCGCATCAATCCAGCCCAGCCGAAGCGACATGTCTGCTGCCATCATCGTGCCGGCTGCCACCGCCTCGCCGTGCAGCCATGCGCCATACCCTGCAAAACAGCCGGACAGGAGTAAGATAAATGATTGTGCAAGAGTTGTATTAAGAGAGTTTTGTTCTGGAGGGATTGGCAACTTAAAGGCCCCTGAAACCAAAAAGTCACTTGTTGGAGTGGGGGCCAACCTGTACACGTCTCGATGGCATGGCCAAAGGTGTGTCCCAGGTTGAGGGTCGCACGCAAGCCTCCCTCCTTCTCGTCAGCTGCCACCACTTCAGCCTTGTTGATGCACGATCGCTCAATGGCATATGTGAACGCCTGCACGAGGTGGGGGTCTTGTGGTGGTGGTGTGGTGGCTGGGTGGTGATTGGGCGGCCGCCTGTGGCGGGCCTGGGGTGGTCAGGCTTGGTGGACGCCCACACACAC